ATATATATATATATTATCCAAACTTCAAGCCCACCCCATCAACCAAACGATGACCTTTAAATAGTACCATATTCTGTTAGTAGACTGATCTGGGTCAGTCTGGAATTAGCATAATATGATTGAACAAGAGTCTATAAGATAGTAAAGTAACTCCTTAAAATTATTCGCATTTGCCAATTATACTATAGACCCAAATTTCAGGTCAGTGGAAATGATGGTTCTTCTTTAGAACCTTCTTATAAATCAACCTCGCACCAAATTTTGTTTAACACACTGTCATTCAAAGAAGCAGACAGGATAGAAAGAAGTTAGGGAAAACTCCAAACAAGTAGAATGAGGAAGTCCTCTCACCAGAGTCCACACCCCAACACATGATCAAAGGGAAATAGTTTATTGCAGGAAACTCCTGGCCGCAGAAGTCAACAGCAACAAGGACTGGCTAAAACCTGATCAATCCAAGATGGAAGAAAAATAGACCAGAGAACAACCCAGAGGTCATAGTACCATCTGATCATGAAAACACAAATGATCATGGACACAACTGGAAGGGGAGCTGATGGGGACCAATGTCATGACACTTCTGGAATGAACCATATTAGGAATAAGACACACACACGCCCTCACCCCCCAATCAGAAGACTGAGTCAGAGTTTGGCACCACAAAGTTTAGAAACAACCCACCCTTGGAAATACAGAAAATCCCAAGAACTGACTAATCCGGCACGCAATTTACATAAGTCGCCCACATCCACTTGGAAGTGTGCTTTAGCTGCTTTCACAGTGGTGTCCTCTGAGACTTGCAACCAGAAGGGCAGCAGGCAGCTCAACCTCTGATCCTGTCTCCAGGAGCCTAAGGCCTAATCTCTTTTTCTTGCCCTGAATAAAACTTGCTTTTACTCTCGCTTGGACTCATTCTGAATTATTTCCTATATGAGTCAAGAGCCTGGGGGTCCCAGACTCTGCGGGGAACAGGGACGGCCCCCAACACAGAACTGGTCCAGTGACAAAACCGCCTTTAATAGATCTGACTTTGGGGAACCCTTGCTCAATCTGAGAAAGATAAGGGGAAAACATCTGTGATAGCTAATAAATATTGGCTGAATTACAGAAAATAGTTATTATCTGCCCACTAATAGTTGGTCACAAGAAGATCATGAATTACTTCCTATGGTCAGATCCCTCAGGGTTTGCTCAGTTTTCATTCTCTTAACTTCCCTCTTGAAATTTCCTCCTCCTGCGGACCTTATTAGTCGACATTATTTTGGTTTTCTTCTTTCTTAAATGACTTCCCCTTCCTGTTTCTCACTCTTACTGGCTCTCTGTCCCATTTCCATCTTTTAATTGTGAATTATCCAAAATTCCCAAGTTAAGTCCTCAACTTTCTGCTCTTCTCTCACTATATACATATACTCAGAAATATCATATACTCTTATAGAAGGCATACCAACGTTTTTAAAATTTGTATGGAACTGGTCAAAATTGAATTATACTCCCAACCCCTATTGAATGTCTCAAATTTATATATTGAGATTAGATTGCTAAATTTCAATTCCACTCATGTCCTAGATATTTCCACTTGGGTAAGTTATCATCGTTGTTCCCACTGTTAATGCCAACGGCACTGTCCTTTTTTTTTAATTTTTTTACAAAATGGAAGGGAGAGGGATAGAGAGCTAGAAACATCGACGAGAGAGAAACATTGATCAGCTGCCTCCTGTACATGCCCTTGACCGGAATCAAACCTGGGACCCTTCAGTCCGCAGGCCAACGCTCTATCCACTGAGCCAAACCAGTCAGAGCCAACGGCACTGTCTTTATCCCAAGTAGCCATACTCTAGAAGCTGAGAGTCACTTTGGTTCCCCCTTCCCAAAATTCTCACTTCTAATTCAGTCAGCAAGTTCAACGGATTCTTTCTATGCAATATATTGCATCAACCTTCCTTCCTACGCCCACTGTACATACCTAAATTCAGGCCCATTCCCTTCAAGGTTGAACTGTTAACAGTAGTTTCTTAACTCATCCTCCCACTTTTCTGTCTTTCCCCATGGAAATCCATTAGGCATGATGATGCCAAAATAATATTACTAAAGCATTGCTTTCTTTATCTCTCTCATGCTCAAAACAACTTCAGTAAATCTCCCTTGTTACTAGGAAAAAGCCTACACTCCTTAGCCAGGTACTTAAGATTCTCCCCACTTGGACCCTGAAGGGAGCCAAAGTTTTATCACCCTGAAGCTGCCTTTTAGGGATAATGATTTTTAAGCTGTTTCTTAATAAACAAGACTCAGAAACAATCTTTGACCCTCTCCCCTCTCCTGCCCAAGAGGTTCAGAGCAACCTGCTTCAGGAAGGGCGATCTGAGGACGCCCCCCTTAGCTTAATTTGAATTGAGTCTGGTAGATGGAGGGCTTCAGACAGAGGCCTGTTGGCTAGATACCCTGTGTCCTATTGTTTCTAAGTTGCCTAGCAAGGATTTTCCTGCCATGTGTGTTATTCTCTGACTACCTATAAATGGCACATTCTTACCTCTGAAATCTAATACCTTGTCTCTCAACCTCTCCCTTTAACCTTTGTCCAAAAATGTCTTATATACCCAGTGTTGCCTCACTGTCTTTGGAATTTTCATGCCTATGTGAATTCCCCATGCGCATGTATTAAACTTTGATTTTCTCCTGTTAATGTGTCTCTGTTAATTTAAAGGTTAAACCAGCCAGAAGAACTTAGAAGGTGGGGAGGACAAGTATTAATTTTTTTCTTTAATGCTCTGATAGGGAATTGAACTATGACCTTCTGGTTCATAGGTGGACGCTCAACCACTGAGCCATGCCAGCCCGGCCAAGTGTTAATTTTTTTAGCCCTCACAGAATTCTTGTGGTTTTTCAGAATTGGATTAGGAGAAAAGATACTGAACTAATAACTACCCTGCATATTTTTACACCAAGATGCATGCAAGTTTAGGAATTTAACTAAGGACATGGCCACAGACACGAGCCGTGGGCAAACTACGGCCCGTGGGCCAGATCCAGCCCATTTGAAATGAATAAAACTAAAAAAAAGAAAGACCGTACCCTTTTATGTAATGATGTTTACTTTGAATTTATATTAGTTCACACAAACACTCCATCCATGCCTTTGTTCCGGCCCTCCGGTCCAGTTTAAGAACCCATTGTGGCCCTCGAGTCAAAAAGTTTGCCCATCCCTGGTCTAAAACATCTGCACTCGTGTTATACTCTCAGCTCTTTTTGTTTGAGTGCACCCTCAGAATGATCATTTTCAGGGCACCATTGCCTCCATGTGCTGCTGAAAAGATATCAAGTCTCAGAACTGTTCCTTCTAGAAACCTCCAGAACTGAGCTTAATGCATCTCCTTGTTACATTGTCTTATCTGTTTGTTTTGCTTTGCTTGCGTGTGGAGTGCTTTCCAGGGAGAATGCCATAAGCAAAGCCCTTTTTAGAAGATATGCCTCAGTTAATTTGATAAAATCTATAATAATAAAAGGGTAATATGCTAATTAGACCGGACGCCATTCCAGACGTCCTTCCTGATGAAGCCAGGGCCAGAGGGAGGCCAGCCCTAGTCCCAGGTGCCTGAGGGTGGCCTGAGGGAAGCCAGCCCGGGTCCCAGGTGCTGGAGGGAAGCCAGTGCCGGCAGCCGGGGGAAGGAAGGCCTACTTTTGCATGAATTTCGTGCATTAGGCCTCTAGTCTCTTATATGTGTCTTGGAAATATTCTGCATCATGCTTAAAGGGTGTGTGTGTGTGTGTGTGTGTGTGTGTGTGTGTGCGACCAATGCTTGTTTCGCTGCCTTGACTGCCACCTTCAACAGTGGGACAGGATGGCTTTTTCTCTCTACTCCATTCATCCTCCTGGAGTCATCATGCTGGATGACAAAGTGAGACACTCGGGGAACATCACAGAGGAAAGTCCTAT